TTTCTCTGTTGTTTCCTTGTCATTAGGCCATGTTGATTCGATTATATGAATGACATCCTCCGGGAGCCCCAAAACTGATGCGCGCGTGCGAATAAAAAAAAAAGTTTTAGCAAAAAAAAAAGTTCTTTTCATTATGAAATCTACATGGTCATGAGGGTTGAGCAAATGGCACAGAATATGGTTTGGCGAAAAATCTAGTCTTCAAGTTCATTTCTTTACAATTTCGTCTTTTTTCGTTTGATTTTGGCATTCTACGACATTGGTATAGTTTTTATTAATTTTTTTTGTAACTTATGGTATATTTTTGCTCATTTTGCAACTGTTTTGTACGATTTACAGTATGGTTGAAAACTTTTTTTTTGGAAACGGCCGAAAATTCATGCGCGCGCGGATGTCATTCATATAATCAAATCAACATGGCCTTATTAGGAAAAGCTCGTTTTCCCCTGGAACTAGCGTAAAGTAGAACTAGCTGCCACAAAGCAAAGGTTAGGTGTGACAGGTCGTTCAGTGTGCTTTATATCATTGAAACTTGTCCCTTTGTTATACAAAGATCAGGTCTCCATGGACCCATGACGTGGGTAGCAACCGTTTGGAAGAGTACCAAAGCCGACGAGGGCTGCATACATAGCCTCCACAGGATGCAAAAAACTGTCTGGTTTTGGGGGTCTTCATGGTCTTTGGGAGCTTTTATGTGCTATTTTCTGATTGCATATAGACAACATAGCCGGCCTGGTTGAATGAACTGGGTTAATCAGAAGACCACCAAACCCCCAGTTCTATAAGCCTGCTACGGAGGCTATGCCTACAAATGTAGCGGTGACACTGGATACACAAATAACGCGACATTGACAGAGCACAGCTATGGGCTGCATACAGCTGCGATCCTTCAGTCTGGATTTGGGGGGTGGGAGTGTATTCACAAAAATACAGGCAGAATACTCGTATCTACGTCTACACCAGAAATCCCCATTAGTCAACATTGATGTATAATTGTACAATAGTTTGAGTCGTGTGGCGCAACGGCAGCGTGCGCGACTCGGAATCAAGAGGTCACGGGTTCGAGTCCTGACATGCCACCGACCTTGTGCCCTTGGGAAAAGCACTTTACACGACTTTCCCCACTAGACTCAAGTGAAAATGAGTATTGTCTGTCCAGTATTCGTTTCTATGTGCGGGACACAACACCAGCAACAGCTGCCTCTGTTCCGCGTGTATTGCTCTGTTGCAATTTCAATAAATTAAATCAAAATCAAATATGCATAAACTTTACCCGAATTCCGTGTCGTAACCAGACGCGTTGCAGGCCGGTACAGGGTTGACAGTGGGGGCCGAGGACGACGAAGAGTTGGCCCGTCTGACCACATGTCCGATGTCCGGCTCAGCTTGCCGCGCTACACTGCTACTCCGCACGGGAATGATGCCTGTCCTTTCCCCTTCCTCAACAATGGACCTTTGAGCCTTGTGGGGAGGTTCTTCCGACGACACGACCCCCACCCCCCGGCTACGGGCATGGCATCCACAACCCTTCTCTAGCTTCACTAGAACTAGTCAACACTATGTACTATATAGGGCTAAAGCAGTATACAAGAAAAAAAAACAAACTTTACCCGAATTCCGTGTCGTACCCCGACGCGTTGCAGGCGGGTTCAGGGTTGACGGTGGGGGCCGGAGAAGAAGAGTTGGTCCGTCTGACCACATAGATGTCCGCAGACTGGATGCCCACAGGCTCGATGTCCGGCTCAGCTTGTCGCGCTACCCTGCTATTCCTTACTGCAGAGTCTTCCACATACTGCGAGTCAGGCCCAGTTTGCCGGGCAGCCCTGCCGCCCCGCACGGGGGTGGTGACGACTGCGGCCGTCAGGGGCAAAAGGAAAATCGCGGCGGCGGTCAGCGGAGACATGATGCCTGTCAGTGTGCTTTGACGGAAGTCGGCGACAAAGTACTAGTCTGTTCTAGAAACAATTTGATCCTTCAACGCCTAGCCTGGATATCTATAGTCTATAGTCTCGTATCAAAACGAAACATCAAAACGAAACGTCTAGTAAGGCTTCAATGTTGCCAGTCGGAAAACCTCCGAGTGACGTCCGAGTCGTCATGGTTACCGTATCCTAGCAACGCGGATATATTGTCATGGCAGCGTCCCCGACTGTCACTAGTATATATACTGTACCCCGGGACTAAAGTCGGCGGCAAAGTTTGTTGTCGATATATACTTTGATCCTTCAACGCCCGGATATCTACAGCCTACAGTCTCCTATCGAAATATCTAGTAGGGCTTATATCTAGTAGGGCTCCTATCTAGTAGGGCTCCTATCTAGTAGGGCTTATATCTAGTAGGGCTTATATCTAGTAGGGCTCCTATCTAGTAGGGCTCCTATCTAGTAGGGCTTATATCTAGTAGGGCTCCTATCTAATAGGGCTTATATCTAGTAGGGCTCCTATCTAGTAGGGCTCCTATTTAGTAGGGCTCCTATCTAGTAGGGCTTATATCTAGTAGGGCTCCTATCTAGTAGGGCTCCTATCTAGTAGGGCTTATATCTAGTAGGGCTCCTATCTAGTAGGGCTCCTATCTAGTAGGGCTCCTATCTAGTAGGGCTCCTATCTAGTAGGGCTCCTATCTAGTAGGGCTCCTATCTAGTAGGGCTCCTATCTAGTAGGGCTCCTATCTAGTAGGGCTCCTATCTAGTAGGGCTCCTATCTAGTAGGGCTCCTATCTAGTAGGGCTTCAATTCTGCCAGCCGTAAAACCTAGCAGGGACTGAAGACGCCATCAGAGTTTTAACTTGTTGCCGAAACACGCCTATATGTCGCCCCCTGAATATACAAGTAGCTCCCCAAAGGAACGTCTTGTCAGGGCTCGGTGTTGTCAGCAGCCTGGAGATCTCAGGATGACGTCCGGAAGGCCTTGGTTACCGTATCCTAGCAACGCGGTGACGTCGTCATGGTAACGCTGGAGGCCCGACTGTACTGTACCCCGGGATGGATACTGGCAAAGTTTTGACTTTTTGCCGCCTGAATATACAAACGGAACGTCTGATAAGGGTCCGGTGTTGTCTGTACAGTAGCTGGTGTCAAGCCATAAACATGATCCTGCCAAATACATGACTCCGACACGACTTGGGGGTCTCCGATATACCTGAGACAAGGGGTGGGAGGGGTTTGGTCGCGATGTGGGAGACTAAACCTAACCTAACCCAACCTAACCTAACCTAACCCCAATCGTAAGTCTAACCCTAGCCCTGAATAATGATCCCAACTCTAGTCCCAACTTTAACACAAACCTAACCCCAACCCAAGCCCTACTACCCTAGCCCTAAACACCTGACCTCTTACGTATGTGGCAGCTCAATGATTTTGCTCAACACTGGGAGATCTTCGAATGACGTCCGGACGGCCATGGTTACCGTATCCTAGCAACGCGGTTACGTCGTCATGGCAACGCTGGGGGCCTGTATATATATTCTATGGGTAAAGGTCCAGGAAACGACGAGTGGTGAGGGTCTTACACTATAGTACTTATCATATAGTGCGCTGACAATGGCTATGCTACAACATAATCAAAGAAGTAAACTAACTGTGCACTGATTGTAGTAGTGAACTCCGGAGAAAAGCCATCGGGCTTTAAGTTACTTGTTGAGCAAAGGAATTTACAGTAAGAAATGCACTGTTTGCTGTGTAATGGGGAGGGGTGTTACAAAGTCTGCGGCCAGTCTATAATGGTAGCATTTTTGGAACCTGAACGTTTCTTTCACACTGCAAATACAGAAAAGACTCAAGTAACACCCGACTACAACAACGTGTCATGTTACATCTCTCCATGTTACATCTCTCCATGTTACACCTCTCCCTGTTACACCTCTCCGTGTTACACCTCTCCATGTTACACCTCTCCATGTTACACCTCTCAATGTTACACCTCTCCATGTTACATCTCTCCATGTTACACCTCTCCATGTTACATCTCTCCATGTTACACCTCCCCATGTTACACCTCTCCATGTTACATCTCTCCGTGTTACACCTCTCCATGTTACATCTCTCCATGTTACATCTCCCCATGTCCACTCCATGTTATATTAGCATGATAGTTCATCTGAGTTGGTAAAATACATGAAGAAAATTAAACTGTTCTCCAAGTCAACAACGAAAATAACTCACCAGAAATTTTCGACTGAGTCTCACCATGTTACATCTCTACAATGTCATGTTTAATACACCACTCATTGTCACATTTGTTCTTGTTACATCTCGTCTTGTTACATCTATTCAAAATGCCTCTAAAGCCCACAATAGTGCGCAGCAGAACTAAGTGCGAAGTAGTCAATAGACCATGAGTTGGTTCTCAGTCGCAGCTCTGTCTGGCACCTGACACCTAGCGGGGCCGGCATGAAAAAGACGCCTGACCCTCCTCCTTGCAGTACATGTCGTCTGGGCAGGAGGCGCTGCTGCACTGGTAAGGTGAGCCTGTCCTTGTGCCGGGCTCTGGTTTCAATCAAAAAGGGGGAAAGAAATGATTTCAGTTACAGGTTCATAGTCATTTGATTATGTGAAAGGGGCTTAACTCCCAACCATGGTCGGGAGAAGGTTGGGGGCCATGGTCGGGAGGAGGTCGGGAGGAGGTCGGGAGGAGGTCGGGAGACCATGGTCGGAGGAGGTCGGGAGACCATGGTCGGCAGGAGGTCGGGAGACCATGTTACACCATGAGGTCGGGAGACCATGGTCGGGAGGAGGTCGGGAGCCATGGTCGGGACGAGGTCGGGAGGCCATTCGGGGGAGGTCGGGAGCCATGGTCGGGAGGAGGTCGGGAGCCATGGTCGGCAGGAGATTGGGAGCCATGGTCGGCTGTGTCTGACAGGTGCTTACGTCTGTATTACTCGTCCTTACCTATGCAGAGGAAATGAGTCGGCTGATCATCGCAGGTCCAACCGGGCGGGCAGGACGCAACCGAGCACCTCTGTATGGCTGGAGAATAACAACAGACATAAGGCCACAGCAAGTAAATTTTATGGATGACATCCTCTGCAGACTCCAAATCTAATGCGAGCGGGTGAAAAAAAAACAAGGCGGGCCGAAAAAAACAAGGTTCCTATATTTTAAAATTTTAACTCAATCATTGTACAAATGGTTTTTATTCAGTGGGAACATCACATATACACAGCCAGCATCACATATCACTGCATCAAAGTAAGAAATAAAACATTAAATCAAAGCCTTTTCTTGTTTCCTCTCTTCATAGTTATCTGCCATCCACCTTCCGGCATGGCAACAGGCATCTTTGCCGAATTCGGCATGTTGTTAATTACATAGTATTTTTTTTTTACATGTTCCAAACTTTTTGATGTAAAATGACAATAGGGATACTCTACGACCTTTGTCGCACCCACACACCAAGCGCCCATCACACCAATTAAGAAGAGTAGGGATCCTTCCCGGTGTGAGTGGAACAAACCTTACAGTCTGGTCTCAGGTTTGACATCTTGAAAAGGCGATGGTTACCTGGTTTGTCAATCGTTTCGCACAACTGATTATATCCTAAAATATATGGAGAAACAGTAAACAACTAGAAAGGCCGACATTTGCTTGGGAGCAAATGCGGCAGATGGCTTCACCACATCCCCCATACTGAAAATGGATCTATCCCACGATGGCTGCCAATAGTCTATACCCCCATGCAGCAATGGAATCTTCCAATGCCGGAAATAGCCAAAAAGCCATATTTTAATAATTTTAAAGTGGTCTATGTCAAAATTGTGAATGACATTCTTTGGACATGTGTCCAAGGTATCCCCATACCGAATTTCAGGTCATTTGGTTTTAGTACCGGGGCTCCAGATCCAAAAATGTATATTTTTGGCCTCAAAAATGGTCAAAAAACCCAAATAAAACAATTTAAAAAAAATGAAAGACTGTCTGGGGGTATTTTCCCACTCTACATCCATGCCAAATTTCAGGTCATTTGGTTGAAAAACGGCTGAGTTGAATCCATCCCTTTAGTCTTTAGAGAAATGGCAGGAGGAGGAGGAGGAGGAGGAGGAGAAGAAACATGAGGGAACACAATATGTCTTCACCACATAGTGGTGAAGCCATAAATATTCTTTGGGAAACATCTTGAAGAATGCAGAACGATTCTTACCCGCGCGATTCTCACAGAACTTTCCGTTGAAGCCGCTGGGGCATGTACAGACGGCATCCGTTCCGCCGAAACAGGAGGTGCAGGTCCCGCCGTGCAGACAGACGTTATGTTCACACGGGGCGGTTTCTGAGAAAAAGATGAATAACAGTTTTTTTTTTTAACGGTATCGCTCAATGCAAGGCCAATTATACGAGTATTTGGCCACTTCTAGGCATAGAGCTAGAGGTACTTAGGTTAAGGGTGGATCATTGTTTTGAAGCTTTGTGGATTGTAATCGGACGGAAAGCAGCTGATTGGAAGAGAGTTCCATAATTTTGCAGTCCGGGGAAAGAAGCTGTTGTTGTAATATGACTTGGAGACAGGTATGTTAACGGTGTATTGATGAGAACTGGAAGAGAACCTAGTGGCACGCTGAAAGGTTCTGAGTGGCGGAACAAGAAGTGCAAGTTCTCCTGGACATCGACCGTGAAAGTATGTGTAAAAGAGGGATAGCGATGCAACATTGCGTCTGTGTGAGAGGGAATCCAGCTTTGTGGCCAGAGAATGGCCGATGGCAACACAGATTCTCCTTTGAATGCGGTCTTTTAACAGTTTAACAGTTTATTGAAAAATCAGTCTCGCAGCGTGTTCAAAACAAGCTGAAAAACACTGACTGTACAATCGTAACTAAACATACAATACATGACGAAACAGCACACCCATAAATACCAAATGCATCGCCATGAGCACTGAAGTTAAGACAAGAAACGTCCAGAACAGTCTTACTAAGAAGACTTATTATACAGGCGTATGGCCTGGTGCAAGAATGATTTTTTTCAGTCTTTATGTACGAGCAGCTGGCACCGTAAAGCGACGGTCACAACCCGCCGTACGTGCTTTTTGTCGGTACGTTTTTTGGGAGGCTACGTCTGCTACGTTTTTTCTGAAAACGTAGGGAAGGAGTGGCGTCGACGCACGTCACTCGCAAGGCACTCGCAGGGTTGCGCAAGGTGTAAGAGTGTGGTCTGCACGTTACGTCTGTCCGTGAGCGGTCTCTGTGCGATTGCAACTTTCGATTGCGAAGGATCCGTAAGGAGGCCGTACTCACACGTGCTTCTTCCGCACGGCACGTACGGGGCACGCACGTCGCTCGTACTCGCACGCAGGGGTGGTGAATCCGTAGACCGCACGTAGAGAAAGTTTTACATGCACTTAAAGTTCTACGGCGTGTCTGCTTGCTCCCAAATTCGTAGGATTCTGTACGGAGGCGGTACTCACCACGCACGGATGCCCTACGTTTGCCCACGTTTTTGCACGTAGACAGCACGCAGAAGCACGTACGGCGGGTTGTGACCGTCGCTTAAGTGCTGCGCCACTTCTCAAAGTCCTCCCGGTTGCCGTTGTCCTGACTGGTGGCATCAGGTCATGTAGGGGGTGACCCTCGTCCAGCATACTCATACACTACAACTTTAAAGAAACATATCAGGGATTGGCTGCAAAACTAAAGTGGACACTTCCCAACCTCTGCAATTATGGTGGTAGTGCGACGACTGTTGTAGAATTACTAGCTCTTAACTGTATTGAGACCTCTGACCTCTCAGCAGCTTTATACCCTATGTTGTATTCTCATCTCCCATGTCGTATTTCATTGCTATGTTGCATTTTATTTGCTATGTTGTATCTAAGCTACGTTTGCTTCTTGTATATGTATGTATGTATAGTATAATTCAGTGTTTGTATTCAATACGACTCCAGGAAGACTAGTGTTGTATTCTTGATTGTACGCACTAATGGAGATCGATCAAATAAACAAACAATAAACAATAAACAATAAACAACAATACTCTTCAGTAACGTCACAATAAATATCATGCAATGCTTCCGACAATAGTTTCATCGGGTTGGTAAAGTATAGGATACAGGAATTTTCTTTTACACAACCAAGGTAGTTTACCTTGGTGACGTTTCCGTGTCTATCACATTTAGCGGCGGGAAGCAGAACTCCAGTCAGAAGCTCTGACGAAAGTCTCTGATAGACATCGAAACGTCAGCAATGGAAACAATCTTGGTTGTGTAAAAGAAGACTATGTAATGCAGTGCTATTCGCAATGCAATTATAGTATGTTACGTGACGCCATGTTCTGCCTTTTCCTGTTCTCCTGTGGTATGCTGCGTTGAAATATAGAAAACAAGTAAAGAAAAACTGGGTAGCACTTTAGAAATGTGAATAGAACTACTTACAACCAAGACCAGGAGCTAGAATTGGTATATTCAAACAGCTGCAGGTTTATGATTTCTTGATTGCGTGCCTACGTAAGTAGGGCTTAATTCAAAATATCGCTTTCCAAACCTACGTCAAACTTCAGACTACCGTTCGTACTTTTAAGTTGTGTAAGGCCATGTTGACTTGATTATATGGATGACATCCTCCGGGAACCCCAAAATTGATGCGCGCGTGCGAATAAAAAAAGTTTTGCAAAAAAAAAGTTGTTTTCATTATGAAATCTACGTGGTCATGAGGGTTGAACAAATGGGACAGAATATGGTTTGGCGAATAATCTAGTCTTCAAGTTCATTTCTTTACAATTTCGTCTTTTTTCATTTGATTTTGGCATTCTACGACATCGGTATGGTTTTTTGTAACTTACGGTATATTTTTGCTCATTTTGCAACTGTTTTGTACGATTTACAGTATGGTTGAAAACTTTTTTTTTGGAAACGGCCGAAAATTCATGCGCGCGCGGATGTCATCCATATAATCAAATCAACATGGCCTAATTTGATGATAAAATCTGCTAGTAAACTCACCAGACTGACAGATGTAGCTATGCCTCTCCGTGCAGGACGTTGTTTTAGCCCTGTGGCCGTCCGCATTGTCCAACAGAACACACAGCGCGCAAGGCATACCGGGTGAATCTTCTGCCCAGTCCATACCGGCTACCTGGTCTGAAACAAGGATCTTGTTAGGAATTCCAGAAACTCCAGAAACTCCACAACTCCAGAAACTCGAGGACCGACGTGTCTCTCTGTGTCTGAAGTTTGCCCAGAAGCTGTACAAGTCTGAACAGTACAGACATTGGTTTCCTCGACTTCGGGGAGAGATCAGTGGGAGGGAAACAAGACAGAACAAAAAACTAGACCAATTGCCAGCACGCACAGCAAGATATGCGAAAAGCCCATTGCCTTACCTCGTCCAGCTTTTAAACAGCACTCTGTAATGTAATCCTGTAATGTACATGCCTTTATATACTTTGATTTTAATCTAGTACTTTTAATGAGGTTGGTATTTTAACTTTTAGTTTTGTTTTGTAAAAATGTAATGATTATATTGTCACAATATGTTTTTATATAACGTACGGGACATGTAATTCAGCCTTCGGGCTGTGAGGTGTTTCAAATAAAACCCGCATCATAACCCGCATTATAGAATCCTTACTGATAGAGAATTGCATCAGTTTTGTTTTGGACAATTTGAAGTTTTGCTACACTCAGTTTTCTGTTTGAGCCTTTATTTAGGCAACATCAAGTAAATTTTGTGGATGACATCCTCTGCGGACTCCAAATCTAATGCGTGCGGGCGAAAAAAAAACAAGGCGGGCCGAAAAAAACAAGGTTCCTACGTTTTAAAATTTTGACTCAATCATTGTACAAATGGTTTTGATTCGGTGGGAACATCACATTTACACAGCCAACATCACATATCACTGCATCAAAGTAAGAAACAAAACATAAAATCAGAGCCTTGTCTTGTCTCCTCTCTTCATAGTTATCTACCATCCACCTTCCGGCATGGCAACAGACATCTTTGCCCATTTTCGGCCTGTTGACCACTGTCAGAAGGCAACAAAATTTTTTTTTTTCAAAATCAGGCGAAAATTAATGCGTGCGCTGATGTCATCCATAAAAATTACTTGCTGTGGCCTTATGAAAAACTCCGGTCGATGGTAACGGCACAGGTAATGGAATAATCCTAATAAACCATACAGTTAGGCCATGTTGATTTGATTATATGGATGACATCCTCCGGGAGCCCCAAAACTTATGCGCGCGTTCCCACAATGCCTAGTAAGAAGGGGATATACGTAATGCGACCGTGCGAGTAGGAGAGTCTTCGGTAGAGGGTGAAACGATAGAAGGTACGACATTAATTCCAACAAAAATGCAATTATGGCATGCGCTTTATACTAGACAAATAAGGCCATGTTGATTTGATTATATGGATGACATCCTCCGGGAGCCCCAAAACTGATGCGCGCCTTCGAATAAAAAAAAGTTTTGCAAAAAAAAAAAGTTCTTTTCATTATGAAATCTACGTGGTCATGAGGGTTGAGCAAATGGCACAGAATATGGTTTGGCGAATAATCTAGTCTTCAAGTTCATTTCTTTACAATTTCGTCTTTTGTCGTTTGATTTTGGCATTCTACGACATTGGTATAGTTTTTAGTAATTTTTTTTGTAACTTATGGTATATTTTTGCTCATTTTGCAACTGTTTTGTACGATTTACAGTATGGTTGAAAACTTTTTTTTTTGAAACGGCCGAAAATTAATGCGCGCGTGGATGTCATCCATATAATCAAATCAACATGGCCTTACTGAACCTGCCAGGACGGTTTACCAGCGCATGCGGTCTACGTGTTGAACCTACCAGGTGTCGCCAGGGGTCGCTTCTCTGCGTCAATCGCTGTGACACAGTGCCATCAATTTATCATGGCGGGCCGCTTTTAAGTGACAAATTCGCCGCGGAACACGATCGGAAATCACTAACAAAGCCGTCACAGGACCACAGTAAACCACGGTAAGGTCATAGTTGGCACATGTAGAAATGGATGGTGAAATACGATAGGGCTGGTCTTGCAATGACACTGTAAGAAACAGGAGGAGACAGTAAAAAACCCTCTGGTCCCGGGCCGGGGTTCGAACCCACAACCTCCCGGGCCCCAGTCAGACGCTCTAACCTCTCCGCTAAAAGGTCTAGACCCGTTTGCCGGATCTGTTGGTAGCGCCTATAAACCCCCCACTGTTACAACACGTCACTTAAGGCACAGTAACATTTCGTACTACGATTTTTTTAACGCAGGTTTTTAGTAGCAAAGACTGTGATACGATAGAACCCACCCTCAGCAAGAATCTACGACAATCTTTTCCATCATATATAAGACAGCTGAACACATGCCTACGAAAGCTACAAATTGTGTGCTTGTGATGGGGGTTTGAGGTCTGAGACGTATGAAAATCGAGAATTATTATATATCACACGGACTAAATTTCACACGCCAACCACTGGCCATTCAGACATCACAGATGCAGAGAATTCAAACTTGCAGGCTGGCCGGTTCGCCCCTATCGCTCTATGACCACCGCCCCACCCCATCTAACACACGCTAGTTCTGCTTACACTTCGGATTCCATCTATAGATTTTAATTGGTCTAATGTGTACATGTAGTTTATACACGGGCCGGGTGGTACTTAGCCTCCTTCGCAGTCTTGTTGGGCGTCGGCGTAATATTTTCTCTGAGCGACGCGAGTAATATGCGGCCGCGAGGGATGGTTTGCTGCCGAGGGACGCGCTCCAACGCGAAACCTTCTCTCCGTGGCAAAAAGTCCCTCGGCAGCAAATCGTCCCTCGCGGCGGCATATTACTCGCGTCGACTCAGAGAAAAAATTACGCCGACGCCCAACAAGACTGCGAAGGAGGCTGGGTTGTACT